CTCTCGGATCTTGTTTCGGCACACCCTTTTAGTAGAGCGCATCCCACCTTCCCAGTATCTTTTTAGAATTCTTTGATTTTTCAAACCTCTTGGCATCTGTAAAAACAAAAACGAATAGTTCAATCTTAGTATTATAGTTAAACAAGAGTAATTGTACTTTTTTTAGTGTAAAAAACTATCCGAGATGTATTTCTTAATTTTTATCTGGTCAGTTATAACGATGTTGCAACACAAGCGACCCGTGTGGCCCGCAAGAAATACATCTGAATAATCTTATCACGTGGCTTTAAACATCATAAAGGAATTTTTTTTTGAATATAGTTCTTTAATTTAACAATAAAGAATAAATCTCAGTTATTTCTTTGCGAAATAGATCACACGGAATGTTAGAGAATTAAAAAAAGCCCTAGACAATCTCGAGCCGCAATCTGAAATACTTTGGCAAAGATAGATAAATAGTCAATAGTGAACTATAGATATAGTTCACTAATTCCTTTTGTCCGTTGTACATTTTGAACCACATTCAGCGAGTTTATTATATTCAGAAATAAAACATTTGTGTAATTACAAAACGTTTCAATACGGGAGCATAGCAGCAGCCTTATAAATGAACAAGACAAACTAACGACTGAGAGGAAGTGGGATATATTTCTACAACTTGTATAAAAACCATGTATATTGAATAAGACGTGGCATGAATATTAAAAGCCAAATAAAAATGTGACACGAGGTATCGTCGTAGAAATAGGCGGACTCCACCTTCAACTTTGTTGCACTCACTTRTAAGAAGTCATTTCTCTCTAGTTCTAGGCAAACGAAGCGCAACTTTTAAAGCAAAACACATCGACAAGACTGCTTCAGAATAAGCAAATGAAAAATGAGACGCATTACGGTCGAAAGGAACTGTTTAAACGAGCGACTTGCTGTTACTAGAATTCTACATTCTTTACGAAGTTTCTGAAAACACTTTAAATCCAACAAACAAAATTCAGCTACAAGCCCTCTCGCAACAATTACGAAAGAAAATGGAAAGACATCTATGAAAAAACACTCTATGAAGCACTGTTTGAAATAGGTATATATGGATAACCTACCTTTCAGCGAGCAACGTGTAGAGAAAAATAAATAATTAAACTCCGTCAGAATCTCATGAACTGAAGGAAGATTACAAAATCTACATCTTCTTAAATAGCATTTTCTCTGTGCATTTTCACGTGTACTGGCATTTTATCGGTTTTTTCGAAATCCGTGCACCTTAAGACAAAAAGTGATAATGATTTGTTGGCCGTGGAACGTGGTTTCTTTGTTAATATTGCACTTCGTACTACACGGTGCATACTGTTGTTTTTCAGTGCAATATATTATTCAAATGCGCATTTTGCTGGTTTCTATCTTTCTGTTTAAATATTGATGCGGCTCGACACTGCATGGTTCCTTATCTATTTCTTTTCATAGGGCTCATTTGTACATACACCCATTTCATGTAGGCACTAACCAGACCCCCTAACAAGAGCTGTTAATTAGTTTTTGATATTTTAGGAGGAGCCAACGGGGTGTGTTCCTCTAAACAACTGGGTTCTTGTACGAATTTTTCCCTGGGAAATGGATTTTGAGCTTACATTGTTGACAATCTCACAAGCAAATGCGGCGCACTTCCGACCTGTTAYATWTTTTTTAGTTTATAGGAATTTTTTATTTTTCTGTCAAATATTCTTAGAAAGTTCTTTTTCCTGAATTTCTCGCTGGCAACCAGTTRTGGCTTTAGAGCTGRCAGAAACATTCGAACAGATATATTTTCGCCAGGAWACCGTCGCGTCGGCTTCTCCTGATATTTTCCCTCAGTATTCCAGACCTCCAATCCTTACTAAGTTGTGAACTATAATATAGCAGTACAATATTCAAGTTTTTGTATCAATGAACATTTTAATTTCCGTTCTGTCATATTTTGAAATTTATAGATGTACGTTATAAAAAACATCCAATTTTCCTCTCTGTAGAATAAGTTTACAAGGGACACTGTCAATGGCACGCATGCGCGAGTAAACTTGAAAACATTAGTCTAGTGTTTTCAAGTTTATGACTCCAAGTTGACGCGACATAAATCAGCTCGTAAACGTAAACAGATCTAGAATATTCCAAAGTGTGTCAAAAGCACCACAAAATGATTTACCTCGAAGGTAATACTTTCAAAGTCCGTTAGAGGTGAGACTGTTACTGCGCATGTCATCCATTGACAGTGTCCCTTTAATTAGCACTATTTTGCAGTAAATAGTTGCACACTTTAGTGCATGTACATAATCCTTTGCTTTCCTTCATTTCATGTATCATGTATCCCCTTACCTTTTGGGTCGATGTTTTTCAACATATACCAACAAATATTTTACTCTCAAAAGTTCATTATTTGTAACCACATAATATCTCTCAGGGACATCGCCACCTTCACTGTTCTTTGCTCTTGCTCGGCCTGATAGATTAGTGTCTCCATTTCTGGCATTTTTGTTTTGTGTACATTTAACATCTGGATGATCAAGCACCTCACATACGGCAACACAGCTCATTTTGCTTCCTAGTGTACTATTTGTCCATATTTTATTGTATTTGCTATACTGCATGGAGACATTGAG